AAAAAAGTAATAGTATAGCATGACGTCCAAAATCAGGGAAAAACTTTATACTGTAGTATAGCATGTCCCTCAAAATCATGAAAAAATGTCATAGTATATAGCATGTCATTCGAAATAATGAAAAAGCGTCATAGCATAGCATGTGGTTCAAAATAATGAAAAAACATCATAGTATAGCATGTTGTCCGAAATCATGAAAAAATTCATAGTATAGCATGTTGTCCAAAATAATGAAAAAAAGTCATAGTATAGCATGTCGTCCAAAATCTTGCAAAAAAAGTCATAGTATAGCATGTCGTTTGAAATCATAAAAAAAAAGTCATAGTATGGCATGTCGTTTAAAATCTTGGAAAAAAGTCATAGTATAGCATGTCGTTACAAATCATGAAAAAAACATCATAGTATAGCATGTCGCTCGAAATCATGAAAAAAAGTCATAGTATAGCATGTCGTTCGAAATCATGAAAAAACGTGATAGTATAGCATGACATCCAAAATCATGAAAAAAAGTCATAGTATAGCATGTCGTTCAAAATAATGAAAAAACATCATGGTATAGCATGTCGTCTGAAATCATGAAAAAAGTTCATAGTATAGCACGTCGTCCAAAATAATGAAAAAAAAATCATAGTATAGCATGTCGTCCGAAATCGTGAGAAAAAGTCATAGTATAGCATGTCGTCCAAAATCTTGCAAAAAAGCCATAGTATAGCATGTCGTCTAAAATCTTGGAAAAAAGTCATAGTATAGCATGTTGCTCAAAATCATGAAAAAAAGTCATAGTATAGCATGACGTCCAAAATCATGAAAAAAGGTCATAGTATAGCACGTCGTCCAAAATAATGAAAAAAAAAATCATAGTATAGCATGACGTCCAAAATCATGGAAAATCATTATAGTATAGCATGTCGTCCGAAATCGTGAGAAAAAGTCATCGAATAGCATGTCGTCCAAAATCTTGCAAAAAAGTCATAGTATAGCATGACATCCAAAATCATAAAAAAAAGTCATAGTATAGTATGTCGTCCGAAATCATTTAAAAAAGTCATAGTATAGCATGTCGTCTAAAATCAGGGAAAAACTTTATACTGTAGTGTAGTTTGTCGTTCGAAATTTTGCAAAAAACGTCAGTATAGCATGTCGTCCGAAATCATGAAAAAATCCATAGTATAGCATGTCCTCCAAAATAATGAAAAAAAGTCATAGTATAGCATGTCGTTCGAAATCATGAAAAAATGTCATAGTATAGCATGTCGTTCAAAATCATGAAAAAAAGTAAAAGTATAACATGACGTCCAAAATCATGAAAAAATTCATAGAAAAGCATGTCGTTCGAAATCATGAAAAAATTAATAGTATAGCATGTTGTCCAAAATAATGAAAAAAAAATCATAGTACAGCATGTCGTCGGAAATCATGAAAAATCATCATAGTATAGCATGTCGTCCAAAATTTTGCAAAAAAGTCATAGTATAGCATGTCCTCTGAAATCATAAAAAAAGTCATAGTATAGCATGTCGTCTAAAATCTTGGAAAAAAGTCATAGTATAGCATGTTGTTTGAAATCATAAAAAAAAGTCATAGTATAGCATGATGTCCAAAATCATGAAAAAACATCATAGTATAGCATGAGCTCCAAAATCATGAAAAAAAGTCATAGTATAGCATGTGGTTCAAAATCATGAAAAAACGTCTTAGTATAGCATGTGGTTCGAAATCATGAAAAAACGTCTCAGTATAGCATGTCGTTCAAAATCATGAAAAAAACGTCATAGTATAGCATGTCGTTCAAAATCATGAAAAAAAGTAATAGTATAACATGACGTCCAAAATTATGAAAAAATTCATAGAAAAGCATGTCGTTCGAAATCATGAAAAAACGTCATAGTATAGCATGTTGTCCAAAATAATGAAAAAAAAAATCATAGTACAGCATGTTGTCGGAAATCATGAAAAAAAGTCATAGTATAGCATGTCGTTTGAAATCATAAAAAAAGTCATAGTATAGCATGTCGTCTAAAATCTTGGAAAAAAGTCATAGTATAGCATGTCGTTTGAAATCATAAAAAAAAAAGTCATAGTATAGCATGATGTCCAAAATCATGAAAAAACATCATAGTATAGCATGACCTCCAAAATCATGAAAAAAAAAGTCATAGTATAGCATGTGGTTCAAAATCATGAAAAAACGTCTTAGTATAGCATGTGGTTCGAAATCATGAAAAAACATCATAGAATATCATGTCGTTCAAAATCATGAAAAAATTCATAGTATAGCATGTTGTCCAAAATCATGAAAAAAAGTCATAGTATAGCATGCCGTTCAAAATCTTGAAAAAAAAAGTCATAGTATAGCATGTCGTCTAAAATCTTTGAAAAAAGTCACAGTATAGCATGTCATCCGACATCTTGAAAAAAACGTCATAGTATAGCATGTCGTTCGAAATCTTGAAAAAACGTCATGGTATAGCATGACTTCCAAAATCATGAAAAAAAGTAATAGTATAGCATGTCATCCAAAATAATGAAAAAAAGTCATAGTATAGTATGTCGTCCAAAATCATGAAAAAACGTCATAGTATAGTATGCCGTCCAACATAATGAAAAAGAAGTCATAGTATAGCATGTCGTTCGAAATCATGAAAAAACGTCATAGTATAGCATGTCGTTCGAAATCATGAAAAAACGTCATAGTATAGCATGACTTCCAAAATCATGAAAAAGCGTAATAGTATAGCATGTTGTCCAAAATAATGAAAAAAAAGTCATAGGATAGCATGTCGTTCAAAATTATGAAAAAACGTCATAGTATAGCATGACCTCCAAAATCATGAAAAAATGTCTTAGTATAGCATGTCGTCCAAAATCATGAAAAAAAGTCACAGTATAGCATGTGGTTCAAAATCATGAAAAAACGTCATAGTATATAGCATGTCGTTTGAAATCATGAAAAAATGTCATAGTATAGCATGTTGTCCAAAATCATGAAAAAAAGTCATAGTATAGCATGACGTCCAAAATCTTGCAAAAAAATCATAGTATAGCATGTCGTCTAAAATCTTGTAAAAAAGTCATAGTATAGCATGTCGTTTGAAATCATGAAAAAACGTCATAGTATAGCATGACTTCCAAAATCATGAAAAAGCGTAATAGTATTATCATGTTGTCCAAAATCATGAAAAAAAGTCATAGTATAGCATGTCGTCCAAAATAATGAAAAAAAAGTCATAGGATAGCATGTCGTTCAAAATCATGAAAAAACGTCATAGTATAGCATGTCGTCCAAAATCATGAAAAAAAGTCACAGTGTAGCATGTGGTTCAAAATCATGAAAAAACATCATAGTATATAGCATGTCGTTTGAAATTATGAAAAAACGTCATAGTATATAGCATGTTGTCCAAAATCATGATAAAAAGTCATAGTATAGCATGTCGTTTGAAATCATGAAAAAACGTCATAGTATATAGCATGTCGTTTGAAATCATGAAAAAACGTTATATTATAGCATGTTGTTGGAAATTGTGAAAAAATGTCATAGTATAGCATGTTGTTTGAAATCATGAAAAAACGTCATAGCATGTTGTTGGAAATTGTGAAAAAACGTCATAGCATGTCGTTGGAAATCGTGAAACAATGTCATAGTACGGCATGTCATTAATATTACACTACATGTTTGACACAGTATGAATGTGTGGAAGAATTTTAAGTAAAGTATTATATTCATGCTTTCCGGCTGTATTGAACTGTCTTGATTACGTAAATGCTGTTTACGAGCGTGTGTGTTTAACACTGGAGAAATCAACAGGAGAACATGAGGTGGTCTATGGTCACATGGGTAGTTTATTTGATGTGGTCACAAAGTGCATGAACAGGAACAGTTAAAGAAGCACACACAGCAGATCAGGTAATACTTGGATATGTGTCTCAATAGTAACTTTGTTCAGACTTCATTTCATTTTACTTCAGTAAAAGTTTGAGTCAAACATGTTAAAACATTGAAAATGGTTAATGACATGTTAATGTTCAACGTCCTTTCAGCCTGCAGAACTATTAAACAGCAGTTTGTTTGACCTTCATGTTCGTTAATGTCTGACACCATGTATAATGGCTGTGATGTAAATATTAAACTTTTATTGCTACACATGTTATAACCTGAATAAAGTCAGCGAGGCCTCAGAGAGTTAAAGGTCAGAGTCACAGGATGTTGACTCCCAGCAGTGTGACGTCTCCCAGCACTTCCAGCTGGGTGATGCAGCTCACATCCTGGACTCGGTGTTTGTAGTCCAGCTGATGGAGCCCGTTGACAGCAACCCTGAACTGCTGAGAGTCACACCGGATGATCATCTGCAGAGGAAACATTAATATAATATTAGTTCATATCACACTAATAAAAAACAGAAATTACAAAGTTCTTTTTTTTTAGGACAGAGCTGCGTGGTGAAAGAATGACAGGATCAGATTTCTGTCTGTTCATCATCATCCTGAGGAGAGCTGAGGGTTTTATTGGAAACATTTTAGCGTGCAAACAGAAACCAAACAATCAAAGTGTAGATGTTTGTCTGGTGCTGCTGTACCTCAAAGTATTGTCCTGCACTGAAGGGGAAGGAGTCCAGGGATTTCTCCTCAGGGCCCCAGCACTCAGAGAGGAAGGAGTTTCTGACGAAGACCTCTTTCTTCAGACGAGGGTTCAGATGAAGAGCGATGTCACTGCCGCCGGACACTCGCAGGTTCACAGTGAAACTGACATGTAACACAGAAAATTACGAAAACATGTTGAAAATATAAAACTCATGGTCTGTCAAAAAAATTACTATGTGGAAAAAGTCATATTATAACATGTTGGAAAAACTATCAAAAATGTCAGAGTATAAAATGTAAAAAAACTCTTTAGTACAGTATGATTCCAAAAAAGTCACAGTATAGTAATTATTATAAAAACGTTTCAAGTCATAGTACAGCATGTGGAAAAAACTGATGTATGATGAAAAAAAATCAGTATAATATGATAAAAAAAATAACAGCATGACACAAAAAAAACTTTGAAAAAAAGTCAGTAGAATATGATGGGGAAAAAAAGGTCCTAGTATAGTATGTGGAAAAAAATTTAAACATTCATAGTATAACATGTCAAAAAAACTTTAAAAAGTTGATATAACATAATTACAAAAAGTCATAGTATAGTATAATCAAAAAACATTTAAAAAGTGATAGTATAGTACATTTAAAGAGTCAGAGTATAATATAATTACAAAAAGGTGATCGTGTAGTATGATGAAAAAAATGTCATATTATAGTACTTAAAACAAAACCCTTAAAAGTCATAGCATAGTATGTTAAAAGAATTGTTAAAAAAATCTCAGTACGTTATGTTGAAAACAAGCCATAATATAGAATGTCTTAACTTTAAAAAATGTCTTTAATTTTAAAAATGACATATGTGAAAAAAAGTCTTTAAAACCTTTATACAGTACAAACACTTAATGTCTATGTATGAAGTCTCAAAATACGAAATCAATTCCAAGAGAGCATTGTATATTTGCTCCAAAACTTTACTGACGTGTCACTTCAAGGAGAACCTAATTTATTCTAACAGTTCATAAATATTAATCCTTCAGTCTGACACCCCAACTCTCTCCAAAATCCAAAAACTATTGTGTTAGAAACACACGAGTCTGATTCAGAACACAAATATTCAAATGTCTGGTTCTCATCAGTCAGCTGACATTAAAGTGTAAACCACACAGACGGACAGACAGGTGAGTTCAGGTGTTGTTTACCCCTCTGCGTTATGATTGGTCTCTCCTTTAATCGTGATAGTGCGTCCAACACTCAGTCCTTTAGCCAGTTCACCTCTGAAGGGAACCCTCTGTAAAACACACAGACAGCAGATCAGAGACACTTGGACATTTCACCCACTGAAGCAGGTCTCAGATCAGCTGAGGAAGGAAACAAGGAAGGAGTGAAGGAAAATAACCACGAGTTAAAGACAGTCCGTTTTTAACTGATCTGAAAACGTGAAAATCCCCAAAACTGACAACATGCTTCACTATCAGAGCTTAAAATTCTGATTCATGCTCAGACTTTTTACATTTTATTAAAGTTAAATGTTAAAAACAAGTCTGATGTTACATTTATGTAAACAAGTGGCTGCGATTCAATGTACCAAATATAAAAGTTGCGATGAAGATGAGGGAACGAAGGACCAATGGAAGATTTAAGAGAGGAAAGCTTCATTTTAAAACAAAGTTGATTAGATCACTACTCGTTTGGTACTTTTTAATTTAACAAAATAAAGTTTAATGAGAAGTAACAGATATTTGATTAAAATATTGTTAATAGCAAGTAAAAAAGTTTGTGGAACCAGAAGAAAGAAGCGTCATCGATAAATGACCGATGGATTATTACTATTGAAGAAATCTGTTCATGAGAAAAATGGACAATATACACAGCTCAAAATGTTGATGTCTGAACACAACAGTTTTTGTTGTTTTATTGTTTTTGGTTAATGTTGTGAATATTTGTGCCAATAAAGTGAAAAACAACCTTCGTGTTTTCAATTTGGGGTGTCTTCATGTTTTTGAGATGAGTTAAAGAATGAAAAAAAAAAATAAATAAAGATGAGAGTAAAAGAAAATTGGAAAAAGTCTCAGAGTGAAATACAGATGTGTGTTAACCTGTTATATTTTGTCACATGACCACACATCCACTTTATAAACCTGAACGTCAACCATCATGCAACAGTGAAACTCACCAAGTTGCCTGAAGAGGAGATTACTGGCTGGAAGTAAACAAAAAAAATAATTAAATTCATATTTATAATATAATATTTTTTGTAAAACAAATTTGTCCGCTGCAGAACAAAGAAACGTTACAAACACCAAACTTTAAAATTGATATGCTAATATTCTCTGTCGAAGAACTCTGCTGAACATCTGACTTGTGGTGTGCCACAGGGCTCAATGTTATGTCCTCTGTGATTTTCCGTTTACATGCTCCTCATTGTGTAAAATATAATATCTAAGATGGCTGCTGGTTAGATGCATTGTGTTGTCCTGCTCTTCCAATCCAGAGGTGTTGGACAACCTATTTATTTAAATAACAGTCATCATTTTGTAAAAATCAATAATACTGAATCACATCTTAGAAGAGTAACCTGTGGTGTTCCACAAGGTTCTATATTGGGACCTAAGTTATTTATACTTTATTTAAATGATATCTGTACAGTATCGACTATATTGAAATTTGTAACATTTGCTGATGATACAGATTTGTTGTGTTCAGTTGAGGACATGAAAGAGTTATTAAAAACACTAGAAAGGGAACTGATTGTGTTGAAAAAATGGTTTGCTGTTAATATGATATCACCAAATGAAAATAAACAAAGTGTATGGTGTTCGGTGGTATTAAGGCTAAGTGTGAATTTTTGGGAGTGATTATTGATCAAAACTGTATTGGAAGTCAAACATAGAACATATCAAACTGAAATTATCCAAATCTGTTGCTGTTCTTTATAAAACAAGGGCGTTGTTAAATAAGAAATGTTTGCATTTATTTTATTGTTCACTTTAATGCCATATTTGACCTATTGTGCTGAAATTTGGGGAAATGCTTACAAAACAAATAGATGTAAACTTACACCTTAACATTTCCAGACACTGTGTATTTGGAAAAACTTTTTTGAGTTGTCGACAAAAACCATCATGTCTGTATTCAAATATTGTTTTAGATTAAGAGAAGGAAATTATAATTTAAGAGGGTTGTTTGTTTATGAAACATGTTCAGTGAGAATCAATGTGATGGAATGGACTCAGTGCTGCTCTGTGTTGAGTTTTAAAAAGGCCTTAAAATATAAAATGATCACAATGTAAAAGAATTGTGGATTATAATTTAGAGTATAATGTATTTAATTATTAATTTATTGGTTTCCTTTCTTTGGTATGATTGATATTCTGTGTTTTACTTTGGTTAAAACATGGGACAGACAGAATGACACACTGACAGTTTCCGTGATTATGTACAGCATACCGTACCATGACTTTCAAAAAAAAAATTTAAAAAAACAACAACATTGGTCCACAGGGGGAGCCACAGCGATTGGTCGCATTTTAGCCATTTTTAAGCATTTTTCTGTTGTTATAGCGCCACCCAGTTGCCAATTAGAGTTAAATTTCTCCAGTCACCATGAGGCATCCTGTTCTACATATCTACCAAGTTTAGTAAAAATCGATATGGCAGTTAGGCCTGGATAAGAAATTAGCTCTCTGGCGTCCCCATTTTGTTTGATGGGGTCAATAATGGAGGGGTCCCCTCAGATTATGCGTGGTCATATGCCTACATAGTTAGGTGGTGATCGGTGAAACCCTTGAGATATTATACACCTTTATGTGATGAGCCACGCCCTCCACAATATTCATTGCCTTATAGAAGCTCAGTTTTAGTAAGTTTTCCAACTTTTGCCAAGAGGGAACTTTAGATATTGGTCCCTAGATTATGTTCACCTAGTTTCATGCAGATCGATCAAACTTCCTAGGAAGAGATCGATCTGAAGTGTTTTTCGAAAAATTCAAAATGGCAGAAAATCTATATAACCAGAAGTTATGGGTTCTTGAGGCAAATTTGTTCCTCATGAGGAGAGGAAAGTTTCATGTCTCTACTACATACGGGGCATGAGATACGCCCATTCAAACTTTGCAATTTCAATCGGTTGCTGTATTGCCCCCCTTTGGCCAACTGATGTAATATTGCTTCATTCGCATCCTCCCATGACCCTCTACCACTGTGCCAAATTTCACATGGATTGACCAAATCAGTGAGGAGAAAAACGTGGAACAGACACAGAGACACACCCACAGACAGAGTTTTCGTCATTATATATTAAGATAAATATCTTCATTTCTCTGCTGATGACACTCATCTGCATTCACACATTATACCTGGCAACAATTTGAGCTTATAAAATATAAAATATTAGAGATAGTAAAAGATTCATAATCATAGGAAATGAAGGAAAACAAATCGTCACAGTTGAGAAGCTGTGAGCTCCACGTCTGGTATTATTGTTTGATAAATGCTGACTCATGTCACCGAACAATTTTCTGTGTATTGATTAATTCATTAATTCATCTGTGACGGCAGACACAGAACAAAGACTCTCCAAAGTTAAACTCTGACTGTGAGAACAAACGTACTGTCTGAAGTTTCTGATCCTTCTCTGGTTGTTCCTGATTGGTCAGACTGGCTGCAAGCAAAACTTCACTCTAAAAACAACAACAACAAAACATTTTATTCATATTCATCACAAGTTTCTTCACATGAAGAAATAACCACAAACTTTATTTTTCTATCACAGACATTGTTGGATCAGACTCACAGGACTCGGGAGGATGCCGACAGCCTGAATATTGACCTTTCCAGATATGGACAGGGTGTCGACTCGCTCCAGGTCCACTCTGTGTTTGTACTCCAACACTTGACTGCCGTTCACTGCCACCTGCAGCCGTGAGGGAACAACAAGCAGTACAACAAATTACAAATATAACAACACAAAGAAAAGTCCTGCATTTAAAATCCTATAAAGTAAAAGTACATAAGTATTCAGAGCCTTGTGCAGTTAAAGGTACAGTTCACCCCAAAATCAAAACTACATATTTTTTGGCTGTCTGCCTTCTCTCCAATATAATGGAACTAGGTGGCGCTCAGCTTGAAGCACTCAAAAAATAATGTATTTGAAAAACTCAACATCAACATGCCTTTCCAGAAATCATGACCCGGTTACTCAAGATAATCCACAGACCGCGCTGTGAGCGGTTTCATGGAGGAACTATTTTCTATCTACCGAACTAAACCCACCAGCCGTATCACTGCACAGAAGGAAGAGCCTAGATGAATGAATAGCAGGAGAGCTAATAGACTTGGGTCGTATCCAGTTTTGCCGGTCCAGTCTGGTGTACGAGCTGAAAACCAGTTTGATGTTATGTAAACCAGCTGAACCAGCATTTGTAATGCTAACAATGATGCTAAAGGAGGTTTGCGGCCCAAAACTGAGCCGCTCACTCACCAGTGAGACCTGAGGGGAGACCAGAGGGCGGGCATAATGTTTCCACAGCAACGCTGGAGGATGGCGTTACGAGCAAGAGTTGCCCATTGAGCGGTGCTGGGGTGAGCTCCCACCCAAATGGTGTGTGGCACACAGCAGCCAAGGTTACCAGTAAAGACTGGAACGTGGACACTATGGATGTGTTCAAAAATACTCACTACGGGTGTTGAAGTCACACTGACACAAACTGGACCATTTGTAATTCCAAGCGCTCTCTGAATGTACCATTTAATTATTCAGAGCACCACACTCTGATCACTCTGTCTGAGGAGACAGAGCAGCAGAGCGCTGAGTGGAGTGAATGTGTGATTAAAGGGAAATATCGGTTTATTTCAACCTGTCTCCTATCGTCCTAAATTTGTTTCAAGTGACTAGTGACATAAAAATAATAGTTAGCATGTTAGCCGTTAGCCTAGATACAGCCGGGGCGCATAGTAGCGTCAGACCTGTTAAAACGTAAGTGAACAGACAACCTTCAAGTGCAAAGTTAGTCCACTAAACAAGCTTTTTTTCCACAAAGACCGCCTCATATCGTTAGGATAAATGTCAGAGAACATATAGAAAACAACATGTGAACGTGTTGTCTTACCGGTGTGGTGCCGTGTTTGTTTAGTTTAGTTTATTTACTTTATTAATCCCCCTGAGGGGAAATTCAATGTTTTCACTCTTGCTTGTCAATTACACACAGGTCTGAAAGACACACACATGCACAAACTTGATCTATACATGCACTAAGTTGAGAGATGTCAGAGTGAGGGGGCTGCCCTTGGTGAGGCGCCCCGAGCGGTTGGGGGGTTTGGTGCCTTGCTCAAGGGCACCTCGGCAGTGCCCAAGAGGTGAACTGGCACCTCTCCAGTCACCAGTCCACGCTCCATATTTTGGTCCGGACGGGGACTCGAACAGGCGACCCTCTGGTTCCCAACCCAAGTCCCTATGGACTGAGCCACTTTACCATTTAGCTCTGCTTTCCAAAGCGCGGCCGAAATATCGTGAGAACAAGCCGCGATCTCATACCGTGTCTGAAATCTCGCGAGAACAAGCAGCAACAGCTGGAAGGCAGAACCGGACAGTAGCCTGAAAAGTTCATTCATTTATTTTATGAAAGATTTATAGAATAATGGCTGACTTTTTGCCAGACTTCAACTTTGTGGAGGAGGAATTTGATTTTGCAGAGTTTATTTATTTGAGCCAGAATACACTGACGAAGAGCTTCGTGAAATTGAAGAACGGAGGAGGAGAGAGAGAGAGGCGCAACAGGTAGAGGACGAGAGAGGAGGAATGGCTGCTGCAAGGCTGCGTAGCTCTGGAGATTGGTGGTGTACCTGTGAATGCTGTACCCCAGTGCCCACAGAAGAGGAATGCCTCTGTTGCAAGGAATGGGACCGGTTGCAGCCTTATTTTCAAGGTCTGGATGTGACCGAGGACGAGACACCTCCACCTGCAGTAGTATCCAGCTGGGCTTTATCTAGAACTTGCGAGATTTCAGGCACGGTATGAGATCACTGCTTGTTCTTGTGATATTTCAACCGCGCTTTGGAAAGCAGAGCTTAATGGTAAACAAACATGGCAGCACACCGGTAAGGTAAGACAACACGTTTACATGTTGTTTTCTATATGTTCTCTGACATTTATCCTAACGATATGAGGCGGTCTTTGTGGTAAAAAAGCTTGTTTAGTGGACTAACTTTGCACTTGAAATATGCCCGTTCACTTACGTTTTAACAGGTCTGACGCTACTATGCGCCCCGGCTGTATCTAGGCTAACGGCTAACATGCTAACTATTATTTTTATGTCACTAGTCACTTGAAACAAATTTAGGACGATAGGAGACAGGTTGAAATAAACTGAAATTTCCCTTTAACTTAACCGTTCATTAATTCGTGCTGATTTGGAACGCTCTGTTACTTCAAACAACAGCGCTCTCATTTAAGTGTAGAATAAAATCTCCAACAATGAACTGTACAAGAAAACAGGTAGCTGGAGCATCACCAAGTAAATCACACACAGACACCTGAGATGGCTAGGAGGTGTTGAGAATGGAGCAGGATCGGATCACAAAAGTTTCCTTAAGGTGGACACCACCGGGCAAAAGAAAAGCTGGGAGGCCCGAAGCCACCTGGCACAGAACTGTGACACAACAGCTGGAACAGATCAACCTGTCATGGGGAGAGGCGCAACATGCTGACAAGGACCAAATACAATGGAGAGAGCTCATTGAAGCCTTACGTCCCATAGGAGATGAAGAGGAGTAAGTAAAACCAAGAAGGATAAAAATGAATAAATGTGACGTTTTGTCTCGAGACTAAGTCTAAATCTAAAATAGCTGTAAAAAATTAACACTGGTCAGGCTGTTGCCGCAGCTGCCCGGGTTCGACTCCAGCCTGTGGCCCTTTGCTGCATGTCATTCCCTCTCTCTCTCTCTCTCCCCCCTTCAGGCTTAGCTGTCCTATCAATTAAAGGTAAAAGTGCCCAAAAAGATATCTAAAAAAAACCCAAAACTGGTCAAACATCAAGAATGACGCTGACTTTTAGTTTTCTGTTAAAGGTTTGTTTACATCGCTGATGTGTGGACACACAGCAGGAAAATCTTCCATATCACATACAACATACGTCTTCATGTTCTGTGTGAAGACACCTGTAACGTGTGAAGACAATGAAGGACACATGCTGTCCATCAGCAGCTCGTCTCTCACCTTGAACTTGTCTTTGAGGACGAGGATGAGGAGCTCGAACGACTCCCCGTGACTGAAAGGCTTCACATACAGGATCTCCTCTCGGCCCCAGCGCTCCTTCTGCAGCGAGTTGCAGACGATACATGGCGACCTCTTGAACCTCGGGTTGAAGTGAAACGCCACGTCGGCCCTTGGCTTCACGCTGCTGCCACATGTGAAGTCTACCTGGAACCTGTGTGACATCACAGAGGGACGACAAGTGAGTCTTTAACCTGGCCGAGTCTAAAAAGTACAAAAAGTGAACTTCATGTTCTGATGCATCACTTCAGACTGACATCTTTGTTTGGACACAAGTATTCAAATTAAAATAACTTAAAGTGGCCTGTCAGTTTGTGATGATGCTGTACAGACAGGTGAGTCCACACCTGTCGGCATCAGACTGCACTGAGCCCTGAATGAGAACCATCTCCCCCGGCAGCAGACCGCCCAGGATCGTCCCAGCGAAGGGAATAGCCTGTTGGGGGACAGAGTCAGTCACATTCACACATCTGGAAAAATCTGACAAAAAACAGTGAGATTCATGACAGGGAAAATATTTCTGTTATTAAATCAGTTCATTAATATAATAATCTGCAGATTAACTGCTGATGAAAATAATCTTTAATTGCAGCTTCATCAGAGTTAAATATTGGATGCAAGGATTACAAGATTTGTTCTATGTCCTTTATACTCCACCGGATCTTCCCCTTCTCTTCCCAGCCATGTCTTTTTTTAAATTTATATATTTATATCTAGATAGATAGATTATTGTTCAAGTCTCTAAATGTCAGTGTCCGGAAGCATAACAGATGGTTGTGGGACAGGAGGCAGCCTGTTAAACGTGGTTTGTTCACTGACACCAAACTTCATTAGAATTTATTAATATTTTAAAACGTCCTCGTGTTTTCAAATGTTAACGAGCTAAATGACTCAACCATGGTCAGTATACAAACTTTAAATAACCATTATTTTATTCGGCTAACATGACACACACCTAACTGGTCTCACATGTCCATAAATTACCTGTAATTAAGAGTTTGTAACAAACTGGGCGGAGACGAGCTGTTAGAAACGAAATCTTCAGCTGCACATTAACTGACATAAAGTTATTCAATGGATGGGATAGAAGCTGAATTATAGCAGAATAGCAGCAAACCTGAACTGAGCATTTTAGACAATTAAAGTCTCCTTGAATATTAATCACTCCGCGAAGCTGATAAACGAATATAAGTTAGCTGCGATGCTAGCTGACCTGCTCGCTGATAAATGTTTAATAAAAAGTGAAATTAACTGTTGATAAAAAAATTAAGAGAATCAACAATAATACCTGAACACGAAACAAACACACAGAGCATCTTACCGGGTTTAAAAACGACTGTCTAGGGTTTGACACCGACATGTTTGAAGCGAGCAGCTGCGACGTCAAGCTACTTTGGACTTTTGTTTATTTCCTTATATGACGTCATCACGGTTGACCGTTACAAGGACGAGACAGACACCGGAAATAAACTGGATTACTAATGTTTCATTTAAATAAAAAACATCGTTAAAACACAACAAACATAAGTTCGTTCTTACTTTAATGATGTTTAAATATATTTTAAAGCCTTAACTTAAATATTCAAAGCAGCTCGTGGGCCGATGTGATGACGTAGCTGTCCACACCTTGCTGACTGCAGAGGTTTGGTGGTCACTTCATGTCTCATGATTCTCATAATAATTTATTATCCTCCACCTCAAACTCAAAGGATCTGATAAACACGCTAGAAAATGTAAATTCACTAGTTTATATTCATCTAAAATAAATTATTGAATATTTCAAATGTTCACCACGTTTGTAAAATAATCCTCTACTTTTTTCCAACATCGTTGATTTAAAATAAATTTTAATTTGTCATTACAATGTTAATAAACTCCAAGCAACACTTAATTACTCATATTTAAACTTTACCAACAATATTAATTACTTCTCATTTCACATTATATATATATATATATATATATTTACGCATTATATACAGTACAGGCCAAAAGTTTGGACACACCTTCTCATTCAATGCGTTTTCTTTATTTTCATGACTATTTACATTGTAGATTCTCACTGAAGGCATCAAAACTATGAATGAACACGTGGAGTTATGTACTTAACAAAAAAAGGTGAAATAACTGAAAACATGTTTTATATTCTAGTTTCTTCAAAATAGCCACCCTTTGCTCTGATTACTGCCTTGCACACTCTTGGCATTCTCTCCATGAGCTTCAAGAGGTAGTCACCTGAAATGGTTTCCACTTCACAGGTGTGCCTTATCAGGGTTAATTAGTGGAATTTCTTGCTTTATCAATGGGGTTGGGACCATCAGTTGTGTTGTGCAGAAGTCAGGTTAATACACAGCCGACAGCCCTATTGGACAACTGTTAAAATTCATATTATGGCAAGAACCAATCAGCTAACTAAAGAAAAATGAGTGGCCATCATTACTTTAAGAAATGGAGGTCAGTCAGTCCGGAAAATTGCAAAAACTTTAAATGTGTCCCCAAGTGGAGTCGCAAAAACCATCAAGCGCTACAACGAAACTGGCACACATGAGGACCGACCCAGGAAAGAAGACCAAGAGTCACCTCTGCTTCTGAGGATAAGTTCATCCGAGTCACCAGCCTCAGAAATCGCAAGTTAACAGCAGCTCAGATCAGAGACCAGATGAATGCCACACAGAGTTCTAGCAGCAGACCCATCTCTAGAACAACTGTTAAGAGGAGACTGTGCGAATCAGGCCTTCATGGTCAAATAGCTGCTAGGAAACCACTGCTAAGGAGAGGCAACAAGCAGAAGAGATTTGTTTGGGCCAAGAAACACAAGGAATGGACATTAGACCAGTGGAAATCTGTGCTTTGGTCTGATGAGTCCAAATTTGAGATCTTTGGTTCCAACCGCCGTGTCTTTGTGAGATGCAGAAAAGGTGAACTGATGGATTCCACATGCCTGGTTCCCACTGTGAAGCATGGAGGAGGAGGTGTGATGGTGTGGGGGTGTTTTGCTGGTGACACTGTTGGGGATTTATTCAAAATTGAAGGCACACTGAACCAGCATGGCTACCACAGCATCCTGCAGCAACATGCCATCCCATCCGGTTTGCGTTTAGTTGGACGATCATTTATTTTTCAACAGGACAATGACCCCAAACACACCTCCAGGCTGTGTAAGGGCTATTTGACCAAGAAGGAGAGTGATGGAGCGCTGCGGCAGATGACCTGGCCTCCACAGTCACCGGACCTGAACCCAATCGAGATGGTTTGGGGTGAGCTGGACCGCAGAGTGAAGGCAAAGGGGCCAACAAGTGCTAAACACCTCTGGGAACTCCTTCAAGACTGTTGGAAAACCATTTCAGTTGACTACCTCTTGAAGCTCATGGAGAGAATGCCAAGAGTGTGCAAAGCAGTAATCAGAGCAAAGGGTGGCTATTTTGAAGAAACTAGAATATAAAACGTTTTCAGTTATTTCACCTTTTTTTTGTTAAGTACATAACTCCACATGTGTTCATTCATAGTTTTGATGCCTTCAGTGAGAATCTACAATGTAAATAGTCATGAAAATAAAGAAAACGCATTGAATGAGAAGGTGTGTCCAAACTTTTGGCCTGTACTGTACATTCTTACATTCCTGTTTTCTTTTATTCATTTTGCCATAACTTTTCACCTGACGACCACATATATGTATTTTTTTGTTATTGGCAAATATATATTATTTCTACTTTATATATTAAGTTCTGCAGAATTTTATGTCTTAGACTTTTTACAAATATTAAATGAGTCTTGTTGCAGGAGCCTGCAGATATTCCATGACAGTTAATAAATTAAAGCCGTTGATGAATAATATACAGTTTTTGGAGCCGCCTTTTCAAAATGTTGTTTGTGTCATTTTTAACCACTTCTCCCATGTTGGAGCCTTCAGCTGACACACCAACAGGAGAACATAGATTTTATTGTCTACACAAACAACAGCGTCAACAACAGGATGTCAGCTCCGCCCTGAGGTCACCTGTTAATGGAATAATTTGTAATAATATTTAATTGACCACAGATGCAGTGATGAGGACAGATTCTCCTTTACATCATATTAATTATTACTGGGACTTCATAATATTTGAGCCTCTCTCCTTCTCCAGTAAAAAAACATGGATTACTCACAGAACAAACAGACTTGTTTACACTAACTTGGTAAGTGTAAAAAAAGTAATCATGTGCACACAAAAAAACCTCACCTTTCAGGACTTTACTGTTTAACTTTTATTTTCAAAGACAACCCTTTGTTTTGTTTTTTTTTTTTTTAAAATGCTATAAGTGTCTGGTTCCTAAAGTTCAGTGTGTTTGCTGTTTTCTTTGTCTCAGATCTTAAACTGAATTAATCTGAAGACCAAACAGTGAACTCTGGTTTCTGATATTCTCGGACGAAACGACTCAAGAAGAATATAATTGATAATATTTTAAATCATTAGTTGAATCCCTAAATAGTCCTCCTCGAGTTTGATGTTTGTTCGCTGAATAAATGAAACACACGTGTTTTTTATTCCAAATGTAAAAATAAGTCGTGGTTTGGGTCATGTGATTCAGCCAATAAGACAGTGAATAAAGCAACCCCTTATTTATTTTTTTTTTTTTGTAAATGTCCTTTAACCTTCCCAGCTGTGTTTAAACCAACTCTACCATGTCATGTGGTAAAGCAGCTGCAGGTTAATTTCTTCTTCTCACTTCAGCTCTAGAATAATGTGCAGATTAAAGAGGAAGACACGTTGCAGTCCCGCCTCATATTCATGTTGGTGTACTCTGCTTCTAAATCTTCTGACCTGGTTCTAATTTATTCAAAGATCTTTTTAATATTTGATTATTTTACAGCTTATAAAATGCATCATATAGTGATTTGCATTCAAAGTGAGTGTTTTTTTAAAATAAAGCTTTTTCTTTTTTTAAAAAGGTACCTCAACATATTACAACATACATGGCGATGTTTTCATAAACCAGTAATGAAATCAGCATTTCAGGCTTCAACAATCACAAAACTGCTCCCGAAATCCAGGAGGAATTAATCCGGTGAAGAACGGCTGTCTGTAACGCTGAATCGAACTAAGATAATCCGAATGTAAAAATAAGTCGGGATGATAACAATTAGTCAAATTAAGAATTTGATCGAACAAGTTTAATTGATCCTTCAATGCTGTTGGGAGTGTGTACGTTGTGTTGCTGTGAGCTTTGACTGATGATAAAAAACACATCTGTATCAGAGGTTTTATGTTTCTTGTGTCATTTTTTAAAACTCACTTTTAATCAATTATCTGGTTGAGTCAGAGTGGACAAGCAGTAATGAAACAGATTTGAGGCTTTCACATGAAGTTTTGACTTTTAATACAAAAAGCTAAACTGTACAAATAAACTAAAACATTAGGTCCATAAAAACATCATAAAGCAGATATTATTAAAACAAACTATAAAACCAGGGTTCTGATCCAACCTCCACCAGGTCACTGCTGACTTCACCTCAGTTTATAATTTACTCTCAGCAGATAATGACCCCGGTCAGAGGACTGATCCCTGCTGCAGTGCTCCGATTGGCTGAACAGCTCATCTGTCATGTAAACCACCAGTCAGCTGATCTGCCATCATCCTGAGATAAAAATGTCTGTACATGTAGTTCTGTGGATTGAGTGTTTCCTTCTGCAGAGACTCAGTGAGAAGCTTCTGGAATGTGTGACTGAGTGTCTCCACCTCTGTCCTCAGAAGTCGGCGTCCAGCCTGAAGGTGTTGTCTGTGGTGCCGGACATCACGCCCATCCTCTGGTACTCGCCCACACGCTTCTCAAAGAAGTTGGTCTTTCCCTCCAGAGAGATGTTCTCCATGAAGTCGAAGGGGTTCTCCGCCCGGTAGATCTACAGAGACACAACACAGAACCCAGGTCAGTTTATTCTGCACATGCTTAACTGGGGACGCATTAAAAGAGGATGATTAAAAGCACTGAGACCGGTTTGTTCTGTCCAACAGGAACTCGTTCATTAAAGTCCAGTTCAGACCAAAGATTCACAACGAGACGAGTTGAAACAAACAACTACTGTGAACGCTCCATTCTGTAACGATGTAAAAAGCTGCCAGTTCACAGGAAGTGACCACAATGAGACGGTGTATCATCTATAGTCAACAACTCGGTACTTATGATCTGTAACGTTGACAGGAAGTGACCACCATGAGACGGTGTATCATCTCTAGTCAACAACTCTCTGTGCTTCTGATCTGTAACGTGGACAGGAAGTGACCACCATGAGACGGTGTATCATCTCTAGTCAACAACTCTCTGTGCTTCTGATCTGTAACGTGGACAGGAAGTGACCACAATGAGACGGTGTATCATCTCTAGTCAACAACTCTCTGTACTTCTGATCTGTAACGCTGACAGGAAGTGACCACAATGAGACGGTGTATCATCTCTAGTCAACAACTCTGTACTTCTGATCTGTAACGCGGACAGGAAGTGACCACCATGAGACGGTGTATCATCTCTAGTCAACAACTCGGTACTTCTGATCTGTAACGTTGACAGGAAGTGACCACAATGAGACAGTGTATCATCTCTAGTCAACAACTCTCTGTAAGTCTTATTTTGTGGCAGCTTTTCTCTGTAACATTCAAAGACAGTTTTGTCTCATCATGAATCTTTGGTCTGAACTCGCTCATTCAGAGTTCACTCAGTGCTTCAGGTGCCGTCTGTTCAGACAGGCGTCTGTTTCGTGCTGCTGTCGTTCTGCTGGTGAACCACTTGTCCTCCAATCAGAACGTGTGCAGCAGCACTCAGCCCCCATCATTGGCTGAGGTCCGTACCCCTGCGCCTCTCATCATCACAGACCTGATCCTCCTCCAGACGCCTGATGCTCAGACTCCACATTTAAAACTTAAACTATAATTCTGATCAGACCACTGAGCAGCTGATAAAAACCCTGCAGCTGTTACTAGAGTCAAAACTGAAACAGGACAAAAACATTTTAGGGGCGACAGACTGAAAACATCTGATCCAGGATCAGAACAGATCCCAGATCAGTGTCAGAGTCTGTCTGACTTTATGTAACTGTTCCTGTTACAGCGTACAGACTCCAGCTGTCATCTGCATCAGCTGACTGAAAACAACCTTTTAGTTCTGGCTGTAATAACGGACATGTTTGACATCATCAGTCGTCCCCCGGCCCTACTGGGAGCTGTGGTTTTACTGGGATGTGGTTACCTTTGTGAAGCCAAGCTCCAGCATCAGTCTGTCGGCTACAAACTCGATGTACTGCTTCATCAGGTCACAGTTCATCCCGATCAGCTTCACCGGCAGAGCGTCCGTCAGGAACTCCTGAGAACACAACAAAGAACACACCATTAAAACCAGGTCAACAATCAGCTGACTGACAGAGAGACACCATGACATGTCGAGGACCCACCTGCTCGATCTCCACGGCGTTCTTGATGATCTTGGTGACGGTTTCTGCCGACGGTTTGTTCACCAGGTGTTTGAACATCAGACAGGCGAAGTCACAGTGCAGACCCTGAAACCAGTAACGCACACCAGTTACAGCCCAATGAAACCAGTCACACACACCAGTTACAGCCCAGTGAAACCAGTAACAGACACACCGGTTACAGCCCAGTGAAACCAGTAACACACACCAGTAACACAAACTGGATTTATTTCTATCAGTTAAACAGACTGGATCAAACTGGATTTATCTGATGTCAAAGTGACAGGATGAAGCCTCCTGCTGATCAATAATCAATAATCACCTCGTCTCTGCTGATGAGCTCGTTGGAGAAGGTCAGGCCGGGCATCAGGCCTCTCTTCTTCAGCCAGAAGATCGCAGCAAAGGAACCAGAGAAGAAGATTCCCTCCACGGCGGCGAAGGCCACCACACGCTCACCTGAGGAACCACAGAGTCACCATCAATACCTGATCAATATGTGATACCTGATCAATACCTGATACACAGATCAGTATCAGAGCTGACTGACAGCAGGAACAGGAAGGGAGCAGGTTTACCATATTTGGCGCTCTTGTTGCCGATCCAGTTGATCGCCCAGTCAGCCTTCTTCTTCACACACGGCAGAGTCTCGATGGCGTTGAACAGGTATTCTCTGTGGGTCATTGAACACACCGTCAGTAACCAGTAACAGACACCAATAACAGACACCAGTAAGATCCCAGTAACCAGGTCATCACCTCTCTTTGGGCTCCTTGATGTAGGTGTTGATGAGGAGGCTGTACATCTCTGAGTGGATGTTCTCCATGGCGATCTGGAAACCATAGAAACACCTGGCCTCCGTCACCTGCACTTCCTGTGTGAAGCGCTCCACCTGGTGGGAAAGAGACGACACTCAGTCATCAGCTCATCTCAAACTATTGATCACTGATTGATTGCGTTATTGGTTGGTTACTTTTATTTTACATACTTTTCCCTTCTGACAGAAGCGTTCATCACACATGACATCGGACATATGTAAATCCAACAATAAAGTTTCTCGAAGCGATAAATGGCTTCGTTAAGGCATTAAATAAAATAAATACGCTGGTTTTGGAGGGCACATCTTCTTTAAAAATCTGCAGTAAAATAAATACAACCATTCAAATTTGGACGCCCCTCCTGTAAAATTAAATATATGCCCCTCCTACAATTATTTGAACTGCCTCCACCCTACTCCCAGTCATGAACAAACAGTCCCTCAGACCACATGATTAAATAGGAAACTGCTTATTAATGAAAGTATAGTTTTAAATGTTTCGCTCAGCAGCAGTAAACGTGTCTGACAAGACACCAAATCTTTATATTTTAAGCTAAATGTGAAAAATGTCACATTTGTTGTATTTGACTTTCTGATCTGAATAATTAATAAACATCCTGTTAATTTAAATCATAAAATCACAGCATTAATGTGATGATGATCAATAATGAATCAATAACTGATCTGAGAGCTGATGTTTCACTTCAAGAGCTTTGCTTTGGAGTGCTGCAGGAATGAGCCCTACAATGTTGAAATGTGTTGGTGTGTTAGCATGTTAGCACTTCCTGTTCTCTCAGTTTGAGACCTTCAAATTTTGTTCTCCGACATAAAACACATCAGTAAATCGCCCGGCATCCGTTTTGAAACTTTTATGCGTCTTTAAAATGGCAGTTGCTAACAAGTGGCTAAATAAGACTACAGAACGCCGTCATGCCAAACATGGTTTTACGGCCATGTTGTGGTGGTGACTTAAAGCCATGTGACTGTGGTGTATGTTGTTTATAGTGGCATGTGGGCGGAGCTCACCAGATTCTCGTTGACGATGCCGTCGCTGGCGGCAAAGAAAGCCAACACGTGAGAGATGAAGTACCTCTCCTCGTCCTTCAGAGACTCCCAGTGCAGCAGGTCCTTCGACAGATCCACCTTAACACACACACAGAACGTTAACATGACATCAGCTGTGACATCATCTGTGATGGACCTCAGTTCATCAGAGCAGACATTAGCCGTTTATAATATTAGAGATGATGGTACTGCATATGTACTGCTGTATTTCTCAGAGCTCTCAGACAGAGATGGGAGCGGTCTCCATGGTTACCTCCTCAGCGGTCCAGAAAGACGCCTCAGCCTTCTTGTACATCTGCCAGATGTCGTGGTACTGGATGGGGAAGATGACGAAGCGACGAGGGTTTTCCTTCAGCAGAGGCTCCTCCTCTTTCTCCCTGCTGCTGCTCTTCTTCACTGCTTTGGGCTGAGAGACAAAACACACAACTGTCAACATCACACAATATAACACACCTGCACACAAAGGTTTATACTGATATTAAGTTTGGCTGGATACAGTGGAAAGGTCTGAATACATTTGTGGGGGAATGCAGAAGAAATATTCCACATTAAAGTAAAACATTTAGATAAAAAACTGAAACACGAAAATGTAATTTATTTTCTAATTAACAAACAGAAGTAAGTAACTGTTATTGATAAGGGAGGAGTGGTGCAAAAAGTTGGAGACATGTAAGGTGTTTTCTTTGTGTTTTGGCAACCTTTATTTCTTCTTTTAAAATTATTGATTTCTTGTCTTCACCAATGAGTAAGTTTTATAAACTAATAGCTTATTTCAGGGTTGGGGGGTCGTGGATTTTCCTCCAGTCACTCAGAGAAGATCGAGGAAAAATATTTGGAGCTTCAGGGAGGATCAGAAAAGAAAAACCAGGTCACACCCAGCCTCCCTCCTCCTCTGATAAATTAAGAACACCCCCTAAGGCAAACAGTAACAGCTGATTGTTTGGCGCCAGAACCATATTTTAGGCGCCACATGAGCACAACAATCAACACTATCTAATAATACTGTATTTTAATATGAGATGAAGATGATGTGAGTTAGATGAAGATGATTAAAGGTTTCAGCAGATCTGTACTCACCGCAGCGTCGTCGAAGATTTTCCGCGCGGTTTTAGACGCCAAGATCCGGGTCGTGTTCAGACTCGGAGGCTGAAAGATCAATGACAAGAACCCCTCAGTGAACAGATCAATACTCTGATACTGGATCAATACTCTGATACTGGATCAATACGTTTGATTGATGACATCAGACTGAAACACACATTAACTACAGGACCGTCACAAGATGGCTGCCGTGAGGTTAAAGTGTCCAACACTGTGCTGGGACCTTAAAGTGACATGAGACGTTATAATGACACATGAAACATGAGTGTGTGTCTGAGTTCTCACCGTGTTTTCTTTGTCCAGCGACATGTTGTTGACCTGACTGATGACGCCGTTTTCATCCTTGACGGAAAGAGGAGAGCGAGCAGAAAGCATTTTGATTTCCTCCCTTCACGCGGACACACGAATAAAAGACACGTTAACCGATTAAAAGTCGGTTAAAAAGAGAAGCAGCAGCAGCAGCAGGTTTGTTGCGGAGCGGCGGACACAGACAGAGAGCAGACACACTGAAGCGGCTTCTGACCGCTCGAGCCTTTTTTATTGAAATCTTGGCGCTAGAACGCAGCCGGCCAATAGGAACACAGCTCGTGTTGGCTCTTTAACAGTGACGCTGAGACGGAGCCAATCAGGTGGAGAGCAGCGGTCACGTGACGCCCGGGCAGCTGCGGGAGATTCAAACGTCTTTGTCTGTGAGAAGTTACAAAACTGTCCGAAACCGGTATTACAAAACTGTTAAAATCAGCGTTTACACAACGTTTATGATTTAATAAAAACACGCGTTTATTTTACAGTAAAAACTGTTAAACTGTGATTCTGACACTCAGTGTGAGAGGGAAACATTACTGTTACAATCCCAGAAAATAAATCTGATTTCCGTGATAAGATTTCAGCTCTTTATTGTTTCATAAACGTCTGAAAGAGTGTGAATGAGTTAAACTGTCTGACATCATCCTGTTTTTATTTCAGTATCACAATAAATGTCATATTAAATATGTGTCCGTGTTTATAGCGTTAATTTCTGGAATTTCTGGGTCGTTTCCCGCTGCCGCCAATTTTTTTTTGTTTGTTGTTAATTTCATATTGGCGGTGTCCGAGAGACATTTCAGCGCCTAAAATCATTTCAAACACCACGTTATTATAACTCTACATTCAGAGCTGTCGTTTATATTTCCAGGTTTGAGAATTTAACCGAACATAGAGGATTTATCCTAAAACATGTAACACAACAAAGGAACATATTCCGGGTATTTGGCGAGTTATTAGTCTGAACCAGGACGTTATAACATTTAAAGTGTAGATTATTGTGTGTGTGTGTGTGTGTGTGTGACGATCTGTGCGTGTTGTGCTTCTGATTAAATCGAGTTTCAGTCTTTGAGGTTTAATATAATATTCGCCTAATTTCCCCTCGAAACAGGAGAAGCTGACTGATCAGCTGTTTCCGGAACGGAGCGCTCTGATTGGCTGCCTGAGAAGACAACAACACAGCCTGTGAATGTAGGTCAGCAGGTGGAGTCGCCCCCTGTCGGCAGGAACGAGAACTGCAGGTTTATATCTGCTAACACACAGGAAACAAACATCCCTGCAGCATAGAGATAACTACACACACACACACACACACACACACACACACACACTCTCTGTCAGAGTTTAACATCATAATAAAGTTACTGACGGATTCTTTGTGTCTGTGGTGGTGAAACTCACTTTGGAGCTGTCTGTTATTGTTTGGAAATATTTCACCAAATATATCTATTGTCATATTTCTTTAGTGGTACACTGAGGAACATACTAGCTGCCATACTCAGTCTGATCAAATGATGACACACACACATCGAGATCTGCACTGATGAAGACTCTATGATGATGATTTCATACCTAGTTTTTATAATTTGGATTTTTTTCCTGTTTATTTTATGAACTCATTACTGTATATTACTTATTTGTTTGACTTTATTAACTATGAAAACATCACTGCTTGATTTAACTGTGTTTTGTCAGTGTCCTTGAGTGCTTTGAAAGGCACCTATTAATAAAAGCACTGTCATTATTATTAGTATCAGTGTAAGTATGAATATGAAACATTAAAGAATATCAAATATGTATAATGTGCTGAGTAGGAAATGTAAAGTGAATCAAAATATAAAAATATGTCTGTAATGCTACCATATACAACACAGACAAAGGCCTTCAGCTATCAGGCTCCTCTCCTGTGGAATCATCTTCCTGTTACGGTCCGGGAGGCAGACACCGTCTCCACATTTAAGACTAGACTTAAGACTTTCCTCTTTGATAAAGCTTATAGTTAGGGCTGGCTCAGGCTTGCCCTGTACCAGCCCCTAGTTAGGCTGACTTAGGCCTAGTCTGCCAGAGGACCCCCCTTTAATACACCGGGCACCTTCTCTCCTTCTCTCTCTCTCTCGTATTCTATTACTGCATCTTGCTAACTCGGCCATTCTGGATGTCACTAACTCAGCTTCTTCTCTGGAGCCTTTGTGCTCCACTGTCTCTCAGATTAACTCATATCGCAGCGGTGCCTGGACAGTGTGACGTGTGTGAGTTGTGGTGCTGCCGTGGTCCTGCCAGATGCCTCCTGCTGCTGCTGCCATCATTAGTCATTAGTCATACTTCTACTGTTATTATACACATATGACTATTGTCACACATGTATACTGCCAGATATTAATACATACTTTCAACATATTGTACCACAGTAGCCAGAACTATAACTATAATATTATTACTTTCAATAATATTGTTGTAACCTACTGTCATTACCTGCATCTCTCTCTCTCTCTCTCTCTCTGTCTCATTGTGTCATGCGGATTACTGTTAATTTATTATGCTGATCTGTTCTGTACGACATCTATTGCACGTCTGTCCATCCTGGAAGAGGGATCCCTCCTCAGTTGCTCTCCCTGAGGTTTCTACCGTTTTTTTTCCCCGTTAAAGGGTTTTTTTTGGGGATTTTTCCTTATCCGCTGCGAGGGTCATAAGGACAGAGGGATGTCGTATGCTGTAAAGCCCTGTGAGGCAAATTGTGATTTGTGATATTGGGCTTTATAAATAAAATTGATTGATTGATTGATTGACAATATTACACAAACATAAATGTTATATTATTTTATTCCAAATATTATATAGAAACATACTGTAATAATATATTATGTGTACAGCATATTGTTAAATATACATTAAAGAGTGCTGTTGGTTAAGAATGAGTTGAGCACTTGCATAATTGCAGAGTTTTGCTGCTATTGAATTATTGCACCAATTATTGTGCAGTAAAGACAGTGTCAATAAGAATATTACACCTTTAAGTCTCTATTGCACAACTGAAATATGATACAGGAATCATAACAGTAAATTATCATTATTATTAAATTTATATAGTGCTGTCTGGATACCCAAAGGGGCTTTACAAAGAACAAAATAAATAAATATTATTATTATTTTTCTGCATAATGATTACTTTTACTTTTGGTATTTTTGTATATTTTGATGCTGAGACTTTTAAAATTAACAAACATATTTAAAACAACGTTATTTCTTGTTTTACTGTAGTCATTTATCTGTGGTGTTTTTAGTATTTTCCCGCCTTTGTTCTGTTGAGAGACACTGTGCTGCAGTCCCGTTTCCCGCCTCATGATGTCACTGTTGCCCTGGTTACTCCCGCCTGTTTTTATTTATATATTTAGAGTTTTGATTCATTTTCTTTTGGCTCCTGCTGAATGTCGGTCAGTAAGGCAAGTGGGCGGGGACCTCAGCAGCCAATCATGTGCCCTTCTCACGTTCCCGGCACGACGTCGTGCTCCCTGATTGGTCACACCCCCTGAGAGCTGGCTGCTGATTGGATGAGCGCTGTTACCGGGGAGAGGGAGAGTCGTCGGAGCGCCGGTTGTGTAACGCAACACGTGACCGCGTCGCTGTCGTCGAGCAGAAACTTCACATACAGGACGTTAATGTATGTTTATATAAAGACACGCTGCTGACGTCACAGAATTAACCTCCTTCACACTGTTTTCATGGCGCGTGACCTGAATTCACACAAACAGCAGGAGCGGGAAGTTACTGATTCAACTTTAGTGTGTCAGTTATGATCTGTGGACTTTATTATGTTACACTGCAGTGTGTCAGTATGTTCAGAGGAGGGAGTAAAAGTACTCGGATACTCTATTAAAGTTAGAGTAGTGTTGAGTTACTGTGTCACATGTTAAAGTCCTGCAAGAAGTTTTATCATCCAAACAATAATACTGAAAGCACCAAAAGATAAATCCCTCATTATACAGGATGATGTAAATGATATTGTATTATTCTAACTGATGTATTAATGTATTGATCAGTTTAATATTGATCAGCTGGTGAAGGTGAAGCTCATTTTGATGACTTTATTTCCTGCTGGTTAGATTAATCTGTGATAAGACATCATCATTTATGACTGATTATATTTTATATTAATAATCTGAATCTGTAAAGTATCTGTCAGATAAATGTAGATAAATATCTGTGAGATGTAGAGGAGGAGAAAGTTACATGAAACAGAAATACTCGAGTAAAGAACCTTAAAATTACCTGAGAGCAGAACTTGAGTCATTTCCACCATTCTTTATGACACAGTATTAATAACAGAGTTACAGTTATAAGTGTTATTATCAAAATGTATTTAAAGTATTAAATTCAAAATGTGTATTTTTAAAGAATTTATTGTGTTTACTTTTTTATCGGGTGTGTATTTTCTGTTTTTATGCTGCTTTTTACATTTTTTTATTTTATTTTAATCTACTGTTTTCCCTGCAAAGCGTCTCTGTGTCAGAGTTACAGACACACATGGGCGCACTGTGGGACAGTGGGCCCCTGGGCTCAGATATACAAAGGGCCCCACCACCTCCCCACAGAGGAGCAGGACACTGTGGTGGTTTATTGCATCTCTTTGTAGTTGTTAGGTGTCTTTTTGTAGTTTTGTGTCTCTGTAGGCTAATTCTGTGTTGTTCATTTTGTGTCACTTTGTAGAAAGTTTGTCTCGTTAAGATAATTTTGTCTGTTTCTGTCACTTTGTGTCTATTTAAGGTCATGTCAGTGACTTTGAGGATTTTTTTTGGTCAGTTTTGTTCACTGTGTGTCACTTTTGAGGTATTTTTTGTGTTTATTTTGTTGTTTAGGGTCTTTGTGTAGCTGTTTTTGTTTATTTAATGTAATTATTTGTCATACTGAGGGAATTGTGTGTCTTTTGGTCATTTTGAGTTGCTTTAATTTATTCTGTGTCTCCTTGTGATTGTGTTGCTTGCTGTTGTTGTTATTTTGTCTTTGCAGTTCCTTAGCGTCTCTTTGTCGTCTTTTTTGTGTCTTTGTTTCTCATTTCCAGTCTCTTCCTGGTCGTCATGTGTTATGACATTTGACACTTTGCAGGTGACACTTTGGGCCCCTGGGTCTGTGCCCAGCAGCCTGGGGCCGTTCATCCGTCCATGATACTGAACATTATGTTATTATTGATGCATTATCATATAACCCGCATTTCAATGTCGTAGTTGGCCGAGGTGGTTTA